CACATAGCTCAAACAATCAATCTCTAAGGACTGCAAGGCGAACTTGAAAGACGTTAAAAAAAAACAGTTTCAGTGAATACTCATTTATAGAATTATAAGTTATTTTCAACAGTTTGGTAAAAACCAAGTTCTGTGAAAACTAATTTATAGAACTATAAATTAATATAATCCATTTTAAAGTTTATTGTAAAATCCTTGTCAAAAAATATATGTTATGTAAAAGAAGAATTCAAACAACTTTTGCCTCGGGGACATCTTCAAATTCTTAGCCAACCATGATTTAAAATTAAAAAATAAAAATATAAAAATAAAAAAATACAAAAAAACAATATATTCGTCCATGTATGAGAGAACATATCCAAGAGAATGTATTCGTGAATAGGAGAATATATGTGCATGTTTGGGAAACCCTCGAATAGGTTCATCATACTACATACCTTATAGAACTATAAATTTGATTTTTTTAAATAAACAAAAAATTTGGATATTTCGATTCTTGAACAAACGGTGCTTCGCAAGGTAATGATTTTTTGTGAAAAGACTTGCTTCTCTCCTCACCACTTCTAGTGGTTTTAAAAGAGTATTTTTTTATTCATTTTTTGCGGTTAATTAACTTCACATAGAATGTTGTTCATGTAGGAGGCCTGAAAAATGTATTATCCGAATCTTTAAAAAATTTCGTGCAAACCTAACAATTTTTTTTGTTAGGTTTTCACGAATTCTATGTTATCCGCGACCTGATTAGTCTCACCCTTGATGTGCTCAGTGGTGAAACTAAACTCGGATAGGTCGCGCCACCAGCGAGCCCTTCGAGGAGTCAGCTTCGATTTTGTTAGAAAAACCTCAACAACAGAGTTGTCCGTGCGCATCGTGAATGGTGCCCTGTGCAGGTAGTGACGCCAGTGTCGAGCGGCATAAACTACTGCGAGAACCTCACGTTCATCAGCGTTGTAGTTTATCTCGGCAGGCAAGAGCTGATGGGAGTAGAAGGCTATCGGACAATCACCTGAGCGAGACTCGACAGTGCCGTCCTCGGCGATGGTACAAGAATAGTTAATAAAAGGCTTGTCAGTAGTTGGACGAGTAGGCGTCAGTCGGGAGGCAGTGGTAGGGGTAGGGGGTGGGAAGCGAGGGATACGAGGATGAGAGGAATCAGGAGAGGAGAGGAAGATCTGAGAATGCACTGCTCCTACAGCAAAGTCTGACGAATCGGTGGTAAGGATAAAAGGACGATCAAGATCGGGTAGGTGAAGAACCAGTGCACATGTCACCGCCTTCTTGAGGGTGTGGAGGGCGTCCTCGTGGAGGGGTGTCCAAGCCCAGGGTGGGTTCTTCCGGAGGAGGGTGGAGGTAAGGACGTAGGAATACCTAGCGTATCCCTGGATAAAATTACTATAGTAGCTGGTCAAGCCTAGGAAGCTGCGAAGCTGCTTAGTGGATGTGGAAACGAGCCACTCCGCGATAGCAGTGATCTTTGCGTCATCCATGTGGAGACCCTGGTCAGACATGTAGTATCCTAAGAAATTCACTTTGTGCTGGGCAACGTGGCACTTGCTGAGCTTGGCATAGAAGCCATATCTGCGCAAGCGGTCAAGGACATCGCGTACACCAGGATATCCTCAAGGGTACGACTGTAGACCAGGATATCGTCGAGGTAGACGAGAACGTACTGCTCCAGGATGTCCCTAAAGATGTCGTTCATCGCCCTCTGGAAGGTAGCGGGTGCGTTGGTGAGGCCGAATGGCATCACTGTGAACTCGTAGTGGTCGAAGCGCGATCGGAACGCTGTTTTCGGCTGGTCGGCTACTGCGACGCGGATCTGATGGTAACCGCTACAAAGATCAATCTTCGTAAAGAAGCGGTTGCCTGCTAGGCGGTCGAACAGCTTGTCGGAACGAGGCATGGGGTAGCTGTTCTTAACCGTGTAGCGGTTGAGGCCGCGATAGTCGATGCAGAGACGGAGAGTTTCATCCGCTTTGCGAGCAAAGAGGATGGGTGCACCCCATGGGGAGTTGCTGGGTTTAATAAAACCCAGTCTCAGGAGCTCCTCAAGCCGACGCTTGAGTTCAGTGGCCTCGGGGATCGAGAGTCTGTAGGGTGCCTGGTGGTGAACTCAATAGTCAGGCACAAGCTGGATGGAGTGCTCGATGCTGCGCATCGGTGGGATGACGGCGTACGAGAACGATGATGGGAAGACGTCATGGTACTCTCGGATGAGGCCACGAACGGCGGGCTCCAGGTCATCCGTATAACGTGCGAGTTTCTCAGCGCCAGCGTCAGCGTGTGACGGCGGGGTGGACTCGACGGACGGCGGAGGTTGGGAAGTAGAGATGGGAGCCATGGAGATAGAAGGAGGATCTGGCTCCAGAGGGATGAGCTCGACGTCGCAACAGGGTGGATCATAGTGTAAGAGATCCGTCACGTTCACCATAAAGAAGGTGACGTCGTCCTGTCGGATGAAGTGAGCGAACTCCCGAGGCGAGGTGACAGTGATAGAAGGAGATGGTGTGGGCACGGAAGGCTCCGGGGAAGGAGGATCGGGGCGTGGTGTCGCTGTGGTACCTATGAAAGGGACGCGATACGTCTGTCCACACTTCGTTTTGAGAACGAGAGTGTTGGTCGCCCAATCGGCCTCGGTGTTGCGGAACCGATCAGACCACGGAGTGCCGAGATTGAAGTCTTACCCCGTCTCCATCGCATCGAAATGTGGAGAGGAGCGGTGGCGACGAGACGCCGGGGGACGATCAGTCGGCTCGAGAGTGAGGAAGAAAGGGAGGTCGGTGACCGTCTGATCCAAAAAGCGTTGGGTATTGTCATCCCGTAAGGTGACAGAGATGGGAGTCGGAAACCCGGTCGTGGGTAAGCGGGCTTTTTCACCACACGTGGGTGAATGAAGTCGCCCTGAGCACCGGAATCCACAGCGCTGAGTACACCCTCGTGGAGGTCCCCAATCGTACGGGGATGATCGGGAGGGTGCGATCAGGGTCAGAGAGGATGGTGAGAAGGCGACGCAGGGCAGCGACATGGAGGGTGAATCGCTCCTGACGAGCCAGGAGCATGCTCAAGTCCAGAAGAGAGGACACGACGTCCTCACGAGTCGCAAGCTGCTCGCTGCAACGGGTTGAGTGAATGGCTCGACGCGTCGGTAGTCGCGGTAGGGAAGGAGGGGAGACGGTGGTCTGCGGAGGCGTAGACGATACTGCGACAGAGGGCTGAGTACACTCTGTTGGATTCTGCGGGACCTCAACTCCAGTAGAGAGAGGGGCAAACTGTGACGGGGATGTCGGGAAACCGGCTACTGAGGAGGCCGCAGGTGTACACTGCACCGTGGCTAGGAGGCGACGCGGGGATGCGAGGCGTCGGGGGGGGACTGAGCATGACGCTGGCGGGAAAGGTCAGCGTAGTGGCGGTCAAGGGCGGTGGTGTAAGGGCACCGCGAGGAGGTATGACCGTCTTGACGACATCGCAAACACCCACGTCGGCCCAAAATAGTCGCGCACTCCTCAACGGAAAGGACACCGCGAGGAGGAACAAAGCCCTGAGGGAGGTCTTGCTGAGGGACCTCGAGGGGCAACGAGCCAGCGTGACGAGGGCGGCTGCGTGCCCGGGAAAGGTTGGAGAGGATGAGCTGGAGGCGCTCAGCCATAGGGAGAGTAGGGTCCTCCAGGTGGTGGTGGACGACCTCACCAAGGTCGAGGTCGTCGCTATGGTCACCATCTGGTGACAGCGGGGCACCAGCGTCCTGCTCACCATACTCGAGCGCGCTGAAGCGGCGCGAGAAGTGGCGGCCCTGCTGCGCGGAACTGCGGGGGTGACCACGGAAAGGGGAACGGCGCTGGGAACTTGAAGTGTCGTGAGAGGAGGAGGAGGTGTAGCCCGTGCGCTGAGGCTGGGAGGAGGAGGCAGGGGGAAGACGGGCCCGCATCCGCAGATGGTCCCTGGCGGCCTCGTAAGCCTGCGGGGCCGATGTGAACTCGTACCGCCATAGCTCGGAGCGGTACTCGAGCGGAAGGCTGGCCAAGAAACGATCGATAAGGGCCGCCTCGGGGAGGAACGCCATGTCACAAATTAGGCGGGCGTCCTGAAAGACCTGGATGTGGCGATCCAGGCCGGTCGTGCCACCAGAGACGGACCAGCATGTAGTGACGACACGGTCGAAGGCGTCAGTCACGTCATATCGGGCTCCGAAGCGATCCTCGAGGAACGCCTGGAAATCCATAAAGGTCGGAGTCCGACCCGCACGAACAGAGTAAGTGTAGAAATCCTCCCAGGCGCCGGAAGGACCGCCACACAGGCGCGTGGAGAGGTGAGCCACCCACGTGTCGGGTGCGGCACCCATGAGCTGGAGCGTGCGGGTGGCAGACTGTAGCCACCGAGACACGCGTATGCCTGTACCGTCATACAAGGCAATGTCCGTCAAGCGGACGAGTGGTGCGCCACCGTTTTGGCGGCGAGGAAAACGCGAAGCAGGGGACTGCGCTACGGCTGAATAAGTCGGCGCAAGTCCTGGAGGAGGGAGCGCAACTGACTGTACGCCCGGGCCGCATGGTGGAGCGGCGGGGGAAACAGCGACAGTCTGCACGGGAGCTGCAGTAGAAGAGGTTGCAGCAACCAAGGGGATAGGGAGGACGTATGATGGGGATGGGTGGAATGTAGGGCGAGGGAAGCGAGCCTGCATGGAAGGAAGAGTAGAGGAAGAAGGGGGTGCGCCAGAAGGCGCGGCCACCTGTGAGGGTGGGGGAGGCTGAAGGCGTGAGACGGCGAGGTCGGCCCCGAGTTGGGCAATCTCGTCCTCGAGACCACGAATGTAGGTCGTGCGAGGGGTAGCAGGAGGAAGAGTGGGGGAAGTGGACGCACGAGCGGCGCGGGGCATCCCTGAGGGGGGAGAGCCAGGTGGCGCTGCGGTCGTGCGAAGGGGAGGGAGAAGCGGGGCATCCGGAAAAGCTGAGACCATGGTAGCGGGTTGTTATACCGTGGTCGTAGTGACAATATCTGGGCGGGTGCACCCGTAGACTGAGGGAGGGCCTGGCTCGTGGCGGCCATCGTGCTAGGGGCGTGGACAATCACCACGATGGTCGGGTCGGGGGCGGCGGAGGAGGAAGCTCCACCGTGGGCACCCTGTCGGAGGACGGGGGACCCGGACTGGGAGCGAGGAGATGCAGGCAGCTTCCTGGAGTTGCTGCATGCCGGCGGCAAGGGTCGCCACCTGCGCCTGTAAAGGCGCAAGGATCGCGAGTTGCGCCTGAATGGGTACGAGGAGGGAGGTGATAAGGGTGTGCAGATCCCCAGGGGGCTGGTGACCCTGATCCGTCGGCACGGGTGAGGAGCCCTGTGCCGTGATCGTCGCCGCGTCGGCGGCGTGCGACACACCGTCGGCCATGGGGAGGTGACGGGCCGGACTGGAGGGGGCCAGGAGAGGTCCGCGTGAGCAGACGGCGTACGGGGGAGTCCGCGGCAGAAGGCGGCGGACGGCGCTAGCAAGGCTGGCGCGGGCGCCGTCAAAGGGGGAGGGGTGGTTCGGGTCCAGGGTGCCCGAATAGGAAGGGGGGTAGGGGGGGGGTTGAAGAACCCTAAACCCTAAAAAAACCCTAAGAAAACCCTAACCGAAGTTTGAGTGGTTAGGGTACGTTGCTGGTGGCCTAATCAAGAAAATAAAATAGCAAGCATAGGGGGAGGGGAAGGCGGGAGAAAAATAAATAAACAGCGAGATTTCGAGAGAAAATAAAAATAAATAAGGAAATAAATAAATAATAAAATAATTAAATAAATAAGTATTGAAGAGAAGAAACAATATTTATTTTTTTGAAATTTTCCGCAGCATTTCCTTACCCCCCATGGGGTCAAGAATGTGCCAAGGGGAAAGCAGAGACGAAGATGAGCACACTAGGTTTCAAGATGCCGCAAATAAAAAAAAAAAAAAAWAGAAAATAAATAAAGAAATAATAAATAAATAAATAAATAAATAAATAAATAAATAAATAAATAAGTAAATAAGTGGATGAGGAGGGCGAGAGAACTGAAGTATCTGATTTTTCAAAAATTTTGGCAGCATTTCGTTACCCCCATGGGGTCGAAGTGTGCCGAAAAAGACTAAGTAAGGGAAAATCAGAAAATTTCAGCAGCACTTCGTTACCCCCACGGGGTCAAAACGTATGCCAAAAGCAAGAAAGACTAACACCTAATCAGATTTAGGGTTGCCGTAAAAAAAATTGAATTTTTAGAATAAATAAAAAAATAAATAAAATAAATCAGAAAATGAGAAAAGAAGGTGGGGAAGAAGATAATTCGAATTTTTGGAAAAAAGAGAAAAGATAAATCGAAAGAGATAGAAAGAAGAAAAACAGAATAAATTCGAAGTAGGGGGAAAGGGGAATGAAAAAAGTGAAGGAGAAAGGAAAGAAATAGGTGAGAAAGAGAAAAAGATGGAAGTGGAAGGTAGGGGGATGATGTGGTGGTAGTTGGGGGAGAGGAGGGTTGGGGAAAGGTGGATAGGGATCAAGAAGCAAAGAGAAAAGGAGGAAAGAAAAGAAAAGAAATAAAGAAAGGAGAGCAAAAGAATGGGTGGTGGGAGAAAGGTAGGGTGGGGAAGTGTAAAAGGAGGAGAGAAAAGATGCAGTAGAAGGTGGGGTAAAGAGAAGGGGTGAGTAAGAGGAGAGAGGAGAGGTAGGGAGAGTGGGTTAGTAGAGGAAGTGGAGAGAGAGAAGAGATACCTGGCCCTTGGTGTCTCCAAGGACACAAGGTATACCAAGACCAGGAGGGTATTGGCCTTCGCTGCAGCAGCCAGCTGGAGGAGAGAGGGGGATGAGATCTTGATCAGCCCCTTGCCGCACTTCTGCAGATCTGCAGATCTAGGGTCTGCTGTGTGAGCAGACCCTCACCACTGTAGAGCAGCCCCCTAAGCAGGGGGGTCTTGAGTTCCACCACGAGCTGCCACGTGGCAGCGGAGATGGCCACGTGCATAGGCAACAGCAGCCAGCCGGGGGGTGGGGGGGGTAAATGGCCAGCACGACACCTCTTCAACCTGAGTGTGTCGTGCTCGGCAAGCGCCTGGGTTTAAACCCCAGCAGCTGCAAAACTCCCGGATCTTGATAATATAAATTCGGGAGCGGGGCGGGGCAGCGGGGCGGAGGGGCGCACGCGCGCGTACAGCAGCCTTGGCCTCGCCGCGCTCGTGGTGGCGCCTGCTTTTTTCGCCACGTGTCACCTTCTGCATTATTTTTCGCTGGAAAACACCCGAAAAACAGCGAAAAAAAACGCTGTCGGGTTTTGCTGTTTTCCCGGCTGTACGGGGTGGTGGGTGGAAGCGGGGAACGTTCCCGCTCCGATACCAATGTAGCGGACCCACCAGGTGTGGTGCTCCGCTAGTGATAGAGATGGAGATGGAGGAAGAAGGGGGGAGCAAGATGCACAACGCAGCTCCCACGCAAGACTCCAACGCACGTACTCCAAAATCGTGCAAGTGTAGAATGATCTCGAAAACAGACAATGGCTGGGGTATACCCCAGCGGACTGACGGGACTGGACTAGACTGGCTGGTACCAACAGAGGTACCGGCCTGGACTGGACTGCCCCGAATAAAACACAGGCCTGTGAGAACAGGCCAAAGGGCAGGTCTCACAGGCCCACCAAAGATCCGCTACAACACTAGAGTTCGAATCCAGAGGGTTGTAGATGTATACAATGATTTTTTTTTTATTATTATTTTTTTACACGGAAGAGGAAACTTTATTATCACAAGCAATCCAAGAAAAAAAAATAAAAAAGTTATCACAACAAAAGAGGAGGCCGAGAGGGGGAGGGGGAGGAGGCGAAGGAGGATGGAGGGAGGGAGGGAATGAGGAAGAACATGAACAGTGGGAAGAAAAGGAGGAGGAGGGCAAGGAGGAGGAGCACGAGGATGAAGAGGAGGAGGAGGTGGTGCTGGAGGAGGAGCGGGAAAGCCAGGAGTTAGAGAACAAGAAGGAGGAAGAGGAAGGGTGAAGGTCGGGGAGGAGGAGGAGGGGGAGGAGGAGGATGAAGCCGATGTGGAGAAAGAGGAGGAGGAAGAGGAGGGGTTCAAGACATGGACGTGGGGGAGGAGGAGGATGAAGCCGATGTGGAGAAAGAGGAGGAGGAAGAGGAGGGGTTCAGAACATGGACGTGGGGGAGGAGGAGGAGGAGGAGACGAGGGAAGAGGAAGACGAAGAAGAATGATGAAGGAGAAGAAGAATGGGGAGGAAGAGGAGGATGACGAGGAGATCGAGAAGGATCAAGAGGAAGTGGATGTGGAGGTGGCCGAGGAGGTGGAAGAGGAGGAGGAGGAGGAGGAGGAGGAGGAGGAGGAGGAGAAGAAGAAGAAATGCAGCCACAACGGGAAAGCCATGATTTGGCTCATATTACTTTTTTGACCAAGTGCACCGAACAAAAGCTCTTGATGAATCGCATCGGTCGTTGGTGGGCCCCACCAACGACTTATCGCAAGACTGCCCCTTAGTATTTATCGTAACGGAGACTGCTTCGAGAACAAGTTAATCATCAAGCTTTGTGCCTATCATAAGAGACTCCCCACTTCCTTTGCTGACGTGGCATCTTCGGAGTCTATCTTCATTGACATTAGCTTGAGCATTCGCATAGGTTGCTGATGTGGAAGGTGGGCGGTCAATCTGGACATGTCTAGATCTGTCTAGAACACAAGTGCCATGGGGCGAGCGGGACGATCCGGACATGCCTTGACAGGAGAGACCTGGACCATCTGGACCATCTGGAGATGTCTGAATCTATCCGGATCACTGTGTCTGCGAGTGTTCAAATCACCGAAAAACAAAATAAAAAGACACAGAGGTCTGTTACACTTGTTTTTTACTAGTGTCATCAAAGGATTTCTAGTGTCCTTTCAAGGGGCATCTTCCAAGCTCCTGCGACACACACACCTCCTGATACGACTCAGAATGACGACCGCTACCGCTGTGGCCCACCACCAAGCACAAGCCTTCCCATGCAAAGGGGTCAGCAGCTCCGCAGCGTGACACAAAGCAAGAGGTGACCTCTAACTACGATCGCAACAGGCCCTGACTGCAAGCAAGATGGGAACGGAGGCTGTTTGAAAC